CTCAAGTGGCCGTCTATGCGCTCTTCCGTAGCCAGTCTAGCTCGCTGTTGTCTCCTAAGTTGGCGGGAGGTGCGTTCAAGCTCAGGATCCAACGGCAGTAAACCTCCCGACTGGCTACGGGTCATGCACTATCTGCACACAGTCAAGCAATGCAAACCCGCGAAGGCACAAGTGGGAAAGAACAAACAGTCAATGCGAAAATGAAAATGCTAAAGTAACAGAAATCACTTTTCTTCAACAACCTAGCCGTCCCCGGCAACGGCGCCAAAAACTTGACTCACTCCTACTGTCACTCTAGAAAATGGCCAATTGTAACCACTTCCTAAAGTGTAGTATAGCGGGTTTGGGTTTTAATGTCAACCCGGGTCCTAGATGTGATGACTACTCAGTGAATTCTTATTATATAGCAGTGAAACTTTAGTGCAGGTCTAACCTAACAAACAAACAAACAAAGCAAGTTAAACGGTTGTTTTCAAGTCTAGAGAGGTCACCCGGATATGGTTCCCCCTAGACTGCAGTCAAGCCGGATTGCAATTTACCAAGTTCAGTTTCTATGATAGTTATACTGCGAAAGGTTCTTAAACAGTCTGAAGTCTCGACTAAGGTCTCCAGACCCTCTCAATCTGAGTCTCCAGCGGGCGACTAACCTCCACCGGAGTAAACATATTGAGGCCCTAACGAACCAAACCTCTACTACCGAAGCAAATTCGGTACATAATAGTGAATTGGCTCCCCGACTAAAGTTGCCAATTCACTACCTTCAATCAAGGGTGCTCTATCAACCTAGGCAGATATTCTCTTTCTAGGTTAAAGCAGAAACAACAGGAATTTGATCAGGATTCATGTCATTCAATAAATCAAACCTCAATTAAATATAATCAAATCACAGAATCTGTACTTGGGTTCATACAATCAGACCTAACATACAAATATAGGATTCTTCATCCCCGGGTGAATAAGAAGTTTACTCCATAGAGAGAGATAAGAAATCTAGCTCAGATGCGGAAACCATACTGTGAACTTTGGTTCGTCGCTCAATCGGATCTTCTCCAAGCTCAAGCCGGGCTCCAATGGTGATGAAGATCAAGCTAGGGCACTTGAGAACTCTGGTTCGTCGCTTTCTCTCTCTAGGAATCGCTCTGTCTCTCTAAAACTCGGAAACCCTCTATTTTGGCCTTCTTTTCCCTTAAAAAGCTGCCTGTCGCGATCCCCGGTCCAAATACACGGTCGGGTATTTTGGGTGTCGACCGGGTATGTTCAAAACGCGCATTTAGGAACAGGGGAAAATCCCCGGTCTGGCCTAAGAATCCCCGACCAGAATTTCTGCTTACTGCACGGGCCCCCTTCTGCTTCTCAGCGATGCCTGAAGCGACAAATCCCCGGTCTGCTCCAAATAATACCCGGTCGGGTATTTGAGCCCATGACCGGGTATTTTCCTCCTACAGCACACTTCGACCCGACTTCGCTCCTTTCGACCCGAAACCCGTTTCTTCGCCTCGATGCCAACGCTAAGTCCTGAAATATGACATAAACGCACAACCTAGCGTGAAATCAGCTTAAAACACAAGAATCAACATCTCAAACGGCTCAAGAATAGGGGTAAAAACATGTGTAATTAATGGTCTATCACGTCTCCTTCTAAATAGAAAGACGCCAGATGCGCCTTTCTCTCTTCCTTGGTGGGATGGTTTTTGAACAATCTATCAGCTGCATACAACCAAATGCCCGCATCCTCCTGACCATTGAATTTTGGGAACTCAATGGCAGGAGGTTTAGCCCTAAACACCAGGTCACCATCAAAGCCACGAGGATAGTCGTCATACCCATCGTATCCCAGAGCTCGGTCACGATAGTCTCGCGGAATCTACGGCCCTCTGCTGCGGCCCCAACCCTCTTTCTCCTCGAACGGGTACTCCGCATACTCGTCCGGTCCGTCCTTCCGTGCCTGGCTTACATCCCACTGTCCCACCGGCGAGCGGGGGCCATGAAACGGCGGATAAGAGGGTCCCGAACCCTTGTCGATCTCTCTTCTGGCTTCTGGTCCCCTACCACCCAATCCTCTTAGGAACTGGTCGGACCGGTTCAACCCACAGTTAGCCCTGGTTCGGTCCAACCCGAGCTGGTCCATCTTGGTCGACCCAAGTCGGTTCGTCCGGCTCTGGTCCATCCGCCCCGTGTCGGCCCCCCCCCCCCCCGATCGCACCCTTCCCGGGTTCAGCCCAGCTCCTTGCCTGCCCGGTCAGGCCCAGCTCATCTTCCTCGTCAGTGCCAAACCACCCAAGCCCGTTGGGTTCCTTGCCATGACCCAACTCCCCTCCTTGGCCCATTGATTCATGCGGCCCGAAACTCAAATGAGGCTCAACATCGTCATACCCTGGCATTTTTGCGTTTCCCCGTATGGCTGCAATCTCTTGTGCCGACGGTGTCGGTAACATGCCCGACCCACGACCTCGCCCACGCGGTCCGCGATGCAGGGCTCCACGTCCGCCTTCTTTCCCCCTTTGACCTCCGTCACCGCCTCGCACGTCGGCACCGTCGCCGTCTTTGTAAAGGAGGGGCCCCGCCTGCCGCGCCGCAGTCGATAGCCGCCGACTCGGCCGATGCCGGGGTTGGGCTCGTCGCAACTCCCCCCCTGGGGCCTGCAGAGCCGTCGCCGATAGCTGCCGACTCGGCCGGGACCAGAGTTGGTCTCGCCGCGATCCCCGCTCCGGTCTCCTTCGCTTGCAGCGATGCAACCGCTTGCATAAGATTCTCCATTATCTGGCGAAGACCCTCACCATCTGTCTTTGCTTCAGCCTGCACCCTCGCCAGCCCTTCCTCGAGCTGAGCCAGCGCTCCTGAGTGCTCGTGCACCACCACCTTCACCGCCTCGAGCTCCGTCTCGTCCTCCACCACGCCGTCGATGCCCTTGTTGCCAGCCTTGGTGGCTTTCTCGGTCGCCTTAGCCGCCTTCTCTGCTGCGGTTTGTGACTTGGTTTGCACCATTGTCTTCTTACGTCCGCCCTAGTTCAAGAGTTACGTGAAACTCACTCTCGAACCGTGCTCTAATACCAGATGTTAGAAACCCAGTTTCTAACAGTTCACAGGATTGGAGAAATGGCCAGGTCAATGAGAGAATGACCTAGCTAGGGATTTGAGATGAGAGGAGTTGAGGGATCGAGAGGGGTTTGGGAAGAGTGGCTGCTGCGGCAGCCTTTGGGAAGGCAGAAGAAGAGAGAGACGTGGGAGGAGGGAAGAGGGAGGGAGGATTAGGGTTGATAAATTGTTCAGTAATTGCTTAATGGAAATAACCCACTAATTACATATTATATAGTCCTGATAATTCCTATTTCCTACCCAACTAAAATAACATGACAATCGATATCGACTCCCTGTTTATTTCCCGAATTCCCCGAATAATCCCCCAATCATCCAAAACCGACAAATAATACTAAATAACAAAAATAGCAATTAACGTGCTTCTAACAAGGACTCCCTTTGCTCTCTGGAAAGTTGAAGGATTCAGATTGTGAGGTGTTGCTTGAAAAGTTAACAAAGAAAATCAGATCATAGCGTGCAAAGAAGCTGACTTATGCAGGGGGGATACAGTTAGTCTCTTCGGTCTTAATGAGGGGTAATTCAATATTGGCTTCAGTTGTTCCTATTTTCTAAAAAGTTTCTTCGAAAGCTGCAGAAGATCTGTTCGGACTTCTAATGGCATGGAGAGGAATCTGGAAGGGCAAAGGTGGCATGGGAGAGGATTTCTAGACCTAAGAAGGAGGGGTCCTAGGCGTACGTTACTTGTTTACATGGAACAGAGCATGCACTGCCAGGATGCTCTGGCTCCTCATGATGCGCTCAGGAGCCCTATGGGTGGCTTGGATGCTTGCTTACAGGTGCAAGGGAATAGACCTTTGGAGTATGACGATTACTGCATCATGTTCTTGGGTTTGGCGCAGAATTTTGAAGCTCCGTCCACAATTCCAACCACTAATGGGATTGCAGGATGGGGTGGGGGCTTGCCAAGGTAAGGAGATGGTGTTGTACTCAGTTCAAGAGGTCTGGAAAACCATGCGACCTGTTCATGCTAGAGTAAACTGGTCCAAACTTCTTTGGGAAAAGTATCATATACCTCGATGGAGCTTTATCTCTTGGATTATAATGCTGGAAGCAATGGTTACGAAGGTAATACTGATGAAATGGGGACGATTGCATGATGATATTTGTATCTTGTGTGGTGTAGGAAGTGAGACGAGAGAACATTTGTTCTTAGAATGCAGTTTTTTAAAGTGCTTGTTGATGAAAGTAGGATTGCAGGTTGGAAGTGGCTCTTGGGACTCGCGGGTTGTGGCATCAGTGTCTATAGCTTCTAGAAATAGTGCGTTGGGTCGTATGATTGGATTAATATGGTGTTCTGTGTCCTCTTTTATTTGGCAGGAGAGATGTCGAAGAGCCATGGGGAACAACCACGAGCTGCTAGGATAGTTTCGGAGCTATGGTTGCATGAGTTAAAGTTTGTTGTGGAAGCTTTCCCTTCTTTGTTGAGTGATTACAGTAGTATTGGACTGGTGTAGAGTGACTGTGTGCCAAAAAATTGTGTAGTGGGATGGGTAGTAGCTAGTGGAAGTTAGTTGGAAAACCTTATTTGGTTTGATGGGTTGTTTTCAGAGAGCACCAATAAGGGGTTGGTTCTCTGCTTCATTGTATCAGGTGTGGTGTTTTATCACCATGTCTTCTCTAAAAGTTAATAAAGAGGAAACTGATTCAACGGAAAAAAACATAATTCACAATTAGAGATTATGTGGCTTTTTTGAATTTTTTAACATTTATTGTGCTGGTTGGACGGTGACGTGGCACGTTGATCGTTAGTCAACGCGTTTAACCGTCTAAGATAACGGTCAAATCTCAGGTTTGTCCAATTTCGTAACTTCGATGCATAGTTGAGGCCACAATATTATAAATCGAAAAAATTGATCGAAATATTTAATATGTGAAAAATTCAGATCATACAAATATAATAACCCATCAAATATTGAATAAGTGCAAGAAAGTAACGGAAAGTATTGAGAATGGAACTTTCCTTACATTTTCCCCCTCCCTGCTCTTCCTTCTTAGTTCTTACAAGAAGAGGGGTCCAAGTTTCAGAGGGGTCATTTGGATGCAGGTTTTGGGTGTGGGATTTGGGCACAATCCTACATAATGTGGGATTTGATTAAAATCACTCGTTTGGAAAGCAATTATATGATAAGATATTTTAAATATTAGAGATTTCAGAAACCCACAATTGTGGGATTATGAAATAGCTGATGGTGATCAGCTATTTTAAAATCCCACATAAATCCCACAAATTAAAAACCTAGGTTTTTAAACCAGTGATTTGAGCCAAAATCCCACAAATTAAAAACCTGGATCCAAATGACCCCAGAGAAGCCTTTTCTCCGGTTGTTGCGTCGAAGAAATGATTTCGTTTTCAGTGAACGTCACTCATCCCATCACCCATAAAGACTTTTTTTTTTCCAAGTTTACTACCTTCTCTCCCACTCCCACCAATAATTGCTCTGCTTTGCCACACCGACGCTTCATTAATGCAATGTAACTAACCCTTCCATTAATCTTGAAAATTTCCTAGCTAACTTTCTACAAGAGCTATTTGTCATTGAAGAACGGTAAACAGAGCAGCATTTCTATTCAAGTTAACAAAAGGGCTGTCCTTGTTGTCTTTCACAAATTTGTGATACCCTTTTACAACTTTATAACAACATCAAAAGGCAAAAAATGTGAAACGTCAGCAGCAGCAGCAGCAGTTTTCAGAACTAAAGTTGCAGCAGCTTCTATGATATTCAGCGCAAGAGAAGGAACCGAGAAATGAAAGGAAGGAAAATGTTGGGTCGATGATCCTGCTGCTAGTGTTAATTAAGAGGTGTCACCTACGAAACCCCTGACGAAGAGGTATTCAGAGCTCGGTCGTATCTACTTGTGATGCTCCTGCTGCTGCTGTTGTACCTTCCCTGCAGATTTCCTTCAGATACAAGGAAAACACGAAGGGTGAGCTCTCTCGAGGGCAACAGAGCCAGTTAGATTCAGTGACCAACAATCTGAGATTTATACCTTCGGAGATGATGAGGTTACATTAAGAGACCCGTAAAGAACATGGTACGGCTGCTCAAAGGCAAAAGGGTTCTTAGAAGAAGAGGGATTGTTATTTGTTCCAGACGGTGCCTGGCTCGATCCTGTACACTGGTTAGGAAGATTAAGACCAGGTTGAGCAGCAGAGGTTTCTTCAGTTGCAGAGAAGGAACCGGTTAATGGAGTGGTATTATTCATCAGTCCATTTCCTTCTTCGAAACTCAATCCTGTCAGTGGCAGTTGCATTGGCTGTAGTAGTCCAGGTAAGCACATTGGATGTAAGCTTAATCCGTTCCTCAATGTCAACATCTGCAGAAACCCAAAATAAAGCCAGAAAAATGGAATGTTAAAATGGCATATGTGATTGGCATTCCTTGAACATTCAATAAACCAAGACAAGACCTCTAACTATGCTCATTTGGGCCTCTTTGAAGGCCATGTGTTTGGAATGGACATGGTAGAAACCACAACTTATGAACTCAATACATTAATTTAGGGTTAGCCATTTCACCCAGTCCGCAAGCATCTAGGGAAAGAAATACTGCCCTCTCTAGAATACAGGTTTAACGTTGAGCCCTGGGAGCTGAAAATAGGTTGAAAATGGGTCTCTTACTACAGATTGATTTCACAAAAAAAGCAAACACATATTTTGCAGCACGTTTCTCCTGTTGGATTTGAACACCAAGCTCGGATGGAGACCTACAGATGTCCCTACACCAGTCACTGTCACTGTCATAGCTAAAACCTAAATTCAACAGGAATATACTCTTTTTTCTAGTCAGCTTATGTAATCACATCCTAAACCTTCACCTAACTGACACTGAACATAGACTTTCAAGAGACTAATTTGCAATTTGAACTTTTTAAAGAATAAAAAAAGCATGGCGTTAAGAAGGGTAGCAAGAGCATGAGAACAAAGTCAAGCCTTTATTCTTCCAGTACAGATTGACTTATCTTAGTACATTACAAGTTAGTGCAAGAACATCAAATTTGAAGGCTTTGGTAATCTCATCCCAACTAGACTGGCAAAAATACAACAAGATGGTAAGGGCTCAACCATGACATAAATCTAAGGTTTCAAATGTCAAATACGTCAACAGTAATGAATTGGAACCATTAATACATACTCCACAACCTGAACTAACCAAGGAACTAGCAGAGAATTGATGGTCGATTTGGCAAGTACTTTGGAAAACAAAGAACGTCCTTGTCCTTGGTGCACTGCGATACCATTACCATGAGATACCAAGATCAAAGCTTTGAATCCATGCAATTACACAGCACAACTTTGTTGGTTGCTTGGTTCACAAATACAACTTCAGAATAGGAACTAATGACTATACATGATCACCAACCATTGAAAGTAAAAGAGGAAACTAACCTGGACTTGCAGCTGAAGCTGCTTCAAGTATTCAATTGCTTCATCCAGCATCGATGCCTTATCCGTCTAACACAAGGATACAACAAGCAAGCCGCAAACAAATTCCATCATATGAATCAGTCAACTAACTCCCCCCAATTCAAAGAAGAGTACTTCCTATCTCACCTTGTTAGAATTTGGTATCAGGTTCTGTAAAGCTTTCATTTTCTCGTTGATTTTGCTTCTCCTCCGCTGCTTACAACCCCACCCATTTCAGGATAAGATAATCAGTTAGCAACCCAAACCAATAATTTACCATTGTTATGCTGAGCTTAGCAGAAAAGGCCTAACCTTTTCGGATAAATTGTGAACCTCTGCTGCTCTGCTTCTCTTGGACGAGCTTCGAGGCTTTCCTCCTGTCTCCGCAGGCATCTCTGACCCTTCTCCGCCCTTGAGAATGGATTATATATTAAACTAAGATTTAAACCACACTCCTTAATTCAATTAAACAACTATTAAACCCCATAATCCCTCGCTAAACCCGATAAATTCTTTCCTCGGGAAGCTAAAGAAAACATATGAATTCGTTCTCGAACTCACCCCGCTGTCGCAGCTGAAATCGCCAGAGCCGAGATCGTTCTCCACGGAGACGCCTCTTTTCTTCGATCCCGCCGCTGACGTGGCGGCGGCATTCTCGATTCCACGGGAATCCCTCCCGAAGTAGAGTCTGGGATCGGAGAAATTGACGCCGGAGTTGGGACCGAGCGGGGAGTCGGAGTTGGAGTGATGGTGGCGATCCCGGAACTCGAGCGGCAAGGCGGCGTCCGGGGGAGGTGGGAAGTGGTGCTGGTGATGAGGCGGCGGTGGAGATGAGAAGTGAGGGTGGTGGAACATGAATTTGGGGGAGGAGGAGGAGGAAGCGGCAGAAGTGTTGTGGAGGAACTGGTGGAGGAACGACGAGATTTCCTCGGTCTCGGAAGGCGGCGGCGGCGGGGCTGAGGCAGCAGGAGGAGATGGAGCTGCGCCGTACAGATCCGCCATGGATTAGGGGGAATTCCGATGACGAAATCTGTTGGAAAGAAGAACCGTCGCTGGCAGCTAGATACTCTGAGGGAATAGAAGAAGAAGGGATTAGGGAGAGTGTTGGGTAGCGCGGAATGGCGCTCTGGTCTCCCTCTTTTTCTGTGCAGACGGAGTTTTTCTCTTTTTTTTTTTTTTTTTTTTTGGCCTTCCTTTGTTGGTTTGGTTTGGGAAAGAGTGAAGGGGGGAAGAAGAGAGGTTTAATGGAGGCTTAATGAAGGCCCCATCATTGGTTTCAGGAAGACAGTACGGAAACCGGAAGGCTAATCAAATTTCAATTAATCTCCCGCCTTAATCTAAGTATATTATGATTTATGTGCGGGCTTAGTTTATTTTACTTGCACTTCGTCCTCCATATACTCGGTATTTGTGAAGTTGACCCTCCAATTTGGCTTCTTTTTCTATTTTTTTTCATGGAGTTAGATGATTCGGATAGAGTAATTTGATGAGAAGATTTGATCCAGTTATTCATAAAAAAAAAAATTAATATCTTATTTTAGCCCCAACTATGACCATATAATAATTCTTAAAAAATAATAATTATTACCATATAATCAACTTTTGTACGTGGTTTCAGAAATTAACATTATGGCCTGAATTTTGCAGCATAAATACTTATTTGGCCCAGCACATGGTTTGACCATCAATTTGGACGGTCAACACCGTGGACCGTAAGTCAATAGTCCACGTCATCGCCATGTTAGCAACCATAGCAATAAAAAATTCGAAATTGAATTTTCTTTCTTATTTCCTTTACCTAATTAACAAAAAATGGAAGAAAAAAAACAAAATCTTTCAACCACCCATCGCCTCCTCTCCGCCCCCACCGCAAAATCGCACTCCTGTGCCGCCATCGACACGCAGCTGGTGTTCAGAATCGATGGCGACGATGATTTCGACTTCGATTTTATCTCCGGTGGAACAGGTAGCTTGGGATCAGCCTCTTGGATCTAGAAATTAGGGATTTCGCCCATTCCTTTTCCCTTTCTCTATTGGCAACTCGTCGTTCTTCTTTCTCTTCCGCGACGGCGGTGGCAGCAGCCGGCGGAATCAATTGGGACAGCTATGCTGAACCAAGCTTCTTCCTCCCCAATAGCGGCCACGAGTCTCTCGGCAACCCTCCATCTCGGCCGCCAACCAATAACCCACAATCGGCAAGACCGAGCCCCAATCCCAAATCCGAGCCCGAGAATCTTGTTTTCGGGGGAAGGGGAACGGATTGCTATGCTGAAAGGGGGGAGATTACAGATAATGGCGTTGCCGCCGATTTCGAAGGGGGTTTGCGGGGATTACAGATAATGGCGCTGCCGCCTCACGGGAGCCGGCACCGCCGATTTCGAAGGGGTTTTAGGAGAGAAGACAATGGGACTTTGAGGATTTTGATATTAGCTCGTTCACTCTGTTCTTGGTAATGGTGGGAACGGAGATATAGGGAAGAAGAAAGGTCAGGGAGAAAGAGGGGTGGGGGTAAGTAGGGTGGGTTCCGAAATTAATTTGTTTTTTTTTAATTATTTATTATCTTATTAATTGCATAAAGGAAACAATAAGATAATTAGAATTTTGGATTTTTTTTGGTTTTGTGCCGACATGGCAATGATCTGGAACGTTGACTAACGATCAACGGTGTTGACCGTCTAAATTGATGTTCAAACCGTGTGTCGGGCCAAATGAGTATTTACTGCAAAGTTCAGGCCAGGATGTTAATTTTTGAAACCACGTGCCAAAATTGATTATATGGTCATAGTTAGGGCCAAAAAATAAGGTATTAACCCAAAAAAAAATTGGTTAAATTTTCCATTTGAATATTAGAAAATTTTGGATGGAACAAATTTATTTGAAAATTGTAAATTACTCTATTTTTATGCAATTATGATTGTCAGGGAGGGGAAGGTAATTCAAATTGTATCATTATAGATTATTTGTTTTGAATTTTGATGCTATTAATTAACCAAGCATAATATAGGTGAAAAATCATTTAGCAAGCCTGGAAAAAGAATAAATACAATTTATTAGTCAAACCTATGTAAATACCATAAAAAAAAAAATCAAATCTTTGACAGAATTATAAATCAAAAGCCATGTTACATTGATACTAACGGTGTGTTGGATGGATTTAAAGGTAAGCCAACACATCAGTGCCAACTCAATTATAATAATATTTTTTATTTTTTCTTATGATTTTAAAAAGAAAAAAAAATCATATGACCATTGTCTTCTTCTCACCTTCCTCTTCCCCACAATCGAAAAAGATTTGGGTACTGGTGCTCTCAGACGTTGCCCTAACCTCTTCATCGTTGCGATTCTAGCATTGCTTGGTCAAATCCATCCACCATTGCTCTCTTACCCTAGCGAATTCGAGAGTCTTCTTCTTCAAATAGGGGATGTCTCTCATGAAACGCTCTTTCTTTTATGCCTTTGAGCTACATAAAAAAAGCAAGTTTAAGGGACTGCCCAATAAATGCTTCTTTGAAATCCATCGATGTAGGTGACAAGCAAAATTGTAAGTCATTCAGTCCCCTTGCACTAAGTGATGGTGGGTGAAAGATTTGAAGTCACCTTAGGGCTCATTTGCTAATGGAATTTGTAAATGAGAGTTTTGGCCATCATTTGGGTTTTCAAAATCTTGAGTATTTAAGATGGATTTGGTATATTGTGGATTTAAAAAGTCCTTTGTTTGCTATATGGATTTGATTATGAATTTAAGGAATATGGATTTACAACTTCACAAGCAAATTACCTTGTTAACCTTCACAAAGCAAATTATCTTGACCATTCATCAAAAGCTTTTCCCTCCATTATCGACCTCTAGCTTTCCCTGGGTTCTCCCTCCCTCGTACTCAGTTTGTTAGTTTCTTGTGATGTTGTTTATTGGCAATACCAAAATTGTACAACAGTACCCAGTGAAAGATATAACAAACCATTGTTCCAATACATTACAAGAGGCTCCACTACCTAAACCAAGGTTTCAATACATAATAGTAGGCTTCATTAAATAAACTTGGGTTATAGGTATAATATGCCCCTCTACTATGACGTTTTATCAAACATGCCCCTCTACTATTTTTTTACATCAAATATGCCCATGTACTTTAACAAAATTATCAAACATGCCCTTCTGTTAAAATTTCGATTGAAAAAATCGTCAATCATGGTTGAATTGAGATTTAGACGACCCGACATCGACAAATGGGAGGGGAAATGTCAGTTTTGTCCCCTGTTTTATTTCCCTGGGTCTTTTCAAAGTGAAATTATTTGAATGATTTGATTATACAAAAGAACCAAAAAAAATTCTAAAGTGAATTTATTAGGGATATTTTAGTCATTTGTGTCGCTCAAACTAAAGTTCAGCCTTGGTTAACGGTTTTTAGATGAAAATTTTAACAAAAGGGCATGTTTGATCATTTTTACAAAGCACAGGGGCATGTTTGATGTAAAAAATAGTAGAGGGGTATGTTTGATAAAACGTCATAGTAGAGGGGCATATTATACATATAACCCAATAAACTTCCTAAATTAGTACACATGTTGGAATGCTTATGAAACTGCACCAAAAGCAAGTAGCCTCCTCCTAGAGAAATCACCTTAGCAATGCTAGAACTTAGTAGATTTAACTTTGCACAAAAAATAAAGTTTCTCAAACATGCCACATGTGTTCTACTAAACATGACTGCCAAACGATAACTGCCCCTTCTATTCTGCCATACAACATCGATGCTTAATGCAAGAAGTTCTTCACAAAAAAGAAGCGGTCCTCCTCGTTCTCAAGAGCATAAACGAGTCGGGTCTTCGATTCATTATCAACCAAAGGCATTGGCAATGTGGTGACCCATTAATTTTTCCAATATCAGCAATCCGTGGAGCTTGTTTACTGTTGTCATCATCTCGCTCACCTAGGTTGGATCCAAGTGCTTCTATAGTCTTACAAATGATAGGCTTAAGACCACCAAGTTAAGAAACAAGATTTGCTATAGCTTCTTCATTGTTCAACTCCGCTGCTCTAGCCATTTTCTTAGTTGAAGAGTTGTTGGCAGCAACTCGCTTGACAAAGGGCTCCCCCTTAGTGAGTTGGCTATGTGGCACATGCTCTCCTCCAGTATTCCTAAGACGTTGGTCAATGTTGTAATTCATAATGCCCTCCAATATTTTCGTGCTCTTATGTTCATCTAAATCTATAAGAGGATCATATCATCCAAGTTCGCAACTGTCTGAGGAGAGTCAACCATATCCGAAAGTCCACCTGCTACTTTTTTAGCCTTTGTTCCGTTTTGCCAAAGATATGTAGAAGTTCATTGTATTACAGAAAGGGCTTCATGTTGAGGTTCTTGATATTCGTATGCACCTACATTGTGTAAAATATTCAAAGATTCACTAACTCGTAGGATGAAATAAGACAACTATAAGAAAAAAGACAACACATTAGTTTTCTAGCACACACTATTCTATGAACACAACATAAGAAGAAAGATTCAGTGTAGGATTTGAGGAGTTCATACAGAGGGGGTTTTATGAGGACTTTACCTTCACCAAATCATTGAACATCATCATCAAGCATTGGTGTGGAACTTGCCTCATCCCAACCAAGACCACTCTTTGAACGAAGCAAGTGTACATCCATAAAGTCCTTTTTCAGCTTCTTGTGCCTAATCGAATGTTCAGGTCAACCTTCACCCCACATCCAAGAGCCTTCTGGTGCATCATGTTTTCAATATCGGTAAAAGCTCCATTTTTGAAGTTGTCATTCTCCACTTGATGCTTCTCAACCAACTATAGTATGCATTGTATGAGAATAGCATAGAGAGACTCGGTCCAACTGAAATAAGGACCCTTAGGCTGAGGGGGGATAGGTTCTTCTCCTTCAATCTTTATATCATTTTCTCTTTTTGGCCATCCTAGGCAATAGGCATGCTAAAATCACAATAAGCATACTGTAGATTGAATAATCTAAAGGCATCTTGATAATAAAAACATCCCAAAACATGAATAAAATAAAGGTAGCTGAATAATAAATATATCCCAAAGCTTGAATAGAACAAATGCAGTTGGCTCGAACTCCCTCTCCTAGAACTTGCATACTATCATAAATCCAATCTAAGTTCTTTTGATTAGCTCTAACTCCCTCCCATAAGATAAGCCACTCCCTCTCCTATAACTTGCATACTAGCGTAATTCCAATCTAAGTTCTTTCTATTAGCATTTTAATGCACTAAGTGGTCTAGAATTCGCATATTAGCACAATTTGTTTTTGGCCTTGATCCAGGGCCTACATTATTTCTCCCTCCTTGACTACAAGTGATCATAAAACCCCTCAAACTCCTATGGTCTATCTAGAGACGTCTCATTATGCATGTGGCCCCACATGTAGGCTTTCTCAATCAAATTGTTTCTGAAGGAGGCGATCACATCATATAATTAGCATGACAATGATCATCCTACAGTTAGCATGGTAGGTGCTCAAGCAAGTTCCTTTCAGAAAATGTGAAGGTTAGTCATGAAGCTCTGGCTCGAGAACAAAATCCATATTGTTTAACATTGAAATTAGTTTTCACCAACAAAATCCATATTTTCATCAAGCTTTCTAGGTATCGAATCCTGATATAAATGGATCAACTACACTCTTATTTGTTATCTCCCTCTCAGAAGACATGCCACTCCCTCTTCTAGAACTTGCATTCTAGTGCAATTCTAGTTTAAGTTCTTTTCATTAGCATTTTAACGCATTACAAGTTTTGGAATCGCATATTAACAAATTTTCATTTTGTCCTTGCTTCAAGGCCTACATTCTTTCTCCCTCCTCTTGTTGGTTTCCCCCAGTGGTGCTGCAACTGCAAGGAACCCAAAAAAAACCCTCAAACTCCTATCATCTATCTAAAGACATCTCATTATGCTTGTGGCCCCACGCGTAGGCTTTCTACAGTCAACTATTATCTAAAGGAGGCTATCGCGTCTTATAATTAGCATGAAATCAATTGTCCTACATGTAGCATTATAGGTTCTTAAGCAGATTTCTTTCATGATAACTCGAAGGTTAGACATGAAGCTCTAGACCGACAACAAAATTCATATGGTCAATAGCCGGGAAATTAGTTTGTCACTAACAAAATCCATATTTTCATTGATATTTTTAGGCTTTGAATCCCTATATAGATAAATTAATTGCTCTCCAGTTCTCTCTCTCTCTCTCTCTCTCTCTCTCTCTCTCTCTCTCTCTCTCTCTCTCTCTCTCAAGATAAGCCACTCCCTCTCCAAGACCTTGCCGACTACAGGAATTCCGGTCTAAGTTTCTTTAAATTAGTATTTAGACGCACTACGAGGTCTAGAATTCGCATATTAGCGCAATTTTGTTTTCGAACTTGATCCAAGACCTACATTCTTTCTCCCTCTTTTTTTGGGTTCCCCAGTGGGGTTGCAAGTGACCAAAAAATCCCCAAACTCCTATAATCTATCTAGAGACATATCATTAAGCTTATGACCCCACGTATATCCTTTCTCAATCAAATCATTTCTAAAAGAGGTGATCGCAATCTATAATTAGTATGACATTGATCTTCCTACATAGCATCGTAGGTGCTTTAGCAGATTCCATTCATGAGAACTCTGAAATACGATTGAGGATAGAAAATTTTGGGGCTTGAAATAATTGGGATAGATATATCACGAGAGGAGATGCAAGGAATGAAAGGTTTCAGGTCTTCTCATTCACTCGCCTTCTTTGTAACTCGATGTGGCTCCAAGACTCAGCACGCCCGCAATAGGAAGACTAGACACACTTAAAGGGAAGGCAACGTGGGCTTAAAAGGAAACTTAAGCCCAAAAGGAAAACCCAATCTTTAAATTTTGTAACTCATCTTCCTCCTTAGACAGAGGTTTTTAGAAGTAGAGATTAGAACAAATGCCAGAGCACTCAGAGAAAATCCAGAGATAAAGAATACAGTGAGAAAGTGAAGAGGACACAAGAATTTTAACGAGGTTCCCAAACTACTAGTCAGTCCCCGTCCTAGAATCACTACCCACTGATTTTATAGGGGACTCTTTTTATTTTGATTTTTCCTATCAAGCAATTGAACAAAGACACGAGAGAAATTACAGACTCAAGAATTCTATATGACTCAAACAGAAGAATATGAAAAACTCGAATCCCATACCCATTATAACCGTCAATTTGATAGAATCTCTTCCTCTATCACAATTGACTCTCTTTGCCCACAAGATATAAACCGTTTTCATAACGATAATGTTTTATTAGTTAACCATAAACGTATCTCTAGATATCATTCTACTAATTTGTTCGATAGAATCTTTCATATAGTTTCACAAACAATGAATCCGGCAAGACAATTCCTAGTTCTCGGTTTGTTTCCCTCAACGTCCACCCACTAAATTGTGCGATTGTACCAATTCACCTCATAAATCGCAAACCGCAGGACTAGCCAAACACAGGGTAAAAGAAAGTGACGCTCAACAAACGGGACCGTTTTGACCAAGAATGATATTACTGATTGACCAATATTACACTAGTATGCTACTGACTAAATTATGATTATACCATCACCTAAATTTCATTCCACTAACTTTGTATGATATAATATCCGATTTTATTTCACAAACCATACATCAATATAAGGGTGGGCAAACGGTGAGATCAGACCGCACTGCACCAAATTCATGCAAACCACATCGCACTGCAAGTTTATCGGCCGCACCAAATGCATGATCACAAGTTAATTGATGTGGTCGAACCAAACCGTATGAGTTAGCAATTTAGTATGGCTTGGACTGCCATCGCATGTACGACCACAAAGTGCACTTCACTGAGTGGTTTGATCATAATCTAAAAGGGAAGAAGCCATGAAATAACTACAACTCTTTCATTCCTTCACTTACTTTTTTCTAAATTTATTAACGAAAAACTACCAACTACACTCATTACCGGAAGAGTCTTCCTTCTAGGTAGACCATTGTCGAGGAAGAGGAAAATGTGGAGAAAGTTGCGGTGGTTGAAGAAAACGAACCTCGAGAAATTGTATATTGTAGCCACTTTGTATATTGTAGCCACTTGAGTGGGTAGTCACATAATCGACTAGGAAAGAAGAGGGTTGAGGACTTGAGGTCATATCCCTCATTCTACACTCGAAAGGAAACCTTTGTGATTTAGCATTTTGACCGCACCCCGCAATTTTTGGATTGACCGACCACGAAACCACAAATCTCTTCAAAGGCAAACCACAACTCAAGCCGCTAACTTATTAGTGTGGTCCGCGGTTTGATGCCTTTCAAAACAGTTTGACTCGCTCCAATGCCCCTAACCCTACACCAGCAACAACATATAGTCCAAACAAATTTCGTCATCTAAATTCCAGTTTTATCCCTATGTAAACAAGGCAAAAGGAGACCACCAACACTGACCCAAAATGCGTCAAACAAGGATGGAAAGCCCGACACCCATATCTAACCCTAAACAAAGCAAATATACACAGATCTATTGGAAACAGTAAAATGACGACAGGAATCAATAATGAATGATCTGTTCCAATAGAAATTTCATAAATTAAAACTAAATATAGTCATCCATCCATAAGCCCATCCAATTTAAGAATAAATCCAAAAGCAGCTTGTTGGATTCACATTTCCTTTTACAAGCTGCTGGCTGCTGCTGCTCTCATCCATCCAACTATCTGGAATCTGACTCCCCTTTCACCCCCATCTTTTTAAACGATAAAAGATACAAAAGAAAAAATATAATAGAGAGAGAGAGAGAGAGAAGAGAAAATAAATGCATTAAAGCTTCCCCTCCTTGCCTACGAGAGTAAGACTACTGAGTCTGCAATGTGCCTAACCCCATGGACAATCAATCGAGAACCAAACGAGCTGTTAGATGCCAAAGAAAGGTTCTTTTCTGCATCCTGATTCCAGCCATGTTATGAAGTTCGGATCTTTTCTTTTCACCGGGGCGCCATTGCTGACCTCTTATCTGTTTTCTTTGTTTCCTGTGGGGACGTACCTTATTTATGCGGGGCAAGCCCTGTTGTTTTACAGATGGGGCACCAGTTCTTGAGCATTAGCCACTGCTTGACGCAACCTGTGTGGAAATCGTGACCACAATCGAGGGTTCCGATCTCCTCGCCATTATTGTACTCCTCCTGTACATAATCCGCACAGTTTAGTTTATTTTTAGATCAGTTAGTCTATCTATGCCAAGGTAGGTGTCCTGTTATCAAACAGGTGAAATCGTTATTTACCTGGCAAACGCAGCACGGTTCTGTTTCTCCCTCAGTGGTGCTCTCTACTGCAGCTGAATATTTCCGCTGTTTAAGCCGATCTACTATGGCCTCTTCGCTTAATCCGGTATTGACACTGCCAATCTGCTCTTCCAGTGCAAGTAACTCCTGCATATTCCCAAGAGGAAAAGGACGATGAATTATCAGCCACATGCTAGTTATAAGCTTATAAATCGCAAAGCCTGGTGTGCAGGTGTATATATTACCTCGTATGACATGTTATCAACATCAAGCCGCATGTCCCTGTGCCTATCGTGGATATCAGCCACGCCAAACATTACTGACTGATCAAGGATCATAACATCCTGAGACAAGAGAACATGTAAGCTACACATGCTAAACTTAAAAGTAATTGAGTTGAAATTGGATTCACGTCACCAACTGATGTTCGACAACGACCTAGTCACCAAATATGAATCTAGTACTATCCTCTCACAGACTGATGTTCGACAACAACATGGTCACCAGGATTTTTCTCCATGACTGTAGAATTTAAATTTAGAGACACGACATTTATGGTGGACAATGTAAGTGTCTACAAAATCATAAATACTGGCTGGCTTTGGTAACTAGGACTTCACTTTGTTGATAGGTCACAGTTATGCCTCATTCAGAATTTGAACCCATAACATCCCATTTAATGGACAAAGTATCTGTACATAATGCCTTTGTGTAACTCTCTCGATTATGTGTTAAGTAACAAACACTACTAACAAGAAAGAGACAAGACACCGAACCTCGAATCGCAAGCCCTCTCCCCTCCGCATGAGATCCAAGACATTGCGTATCTGCTACAGAAACATAAAAAACGATACCATAAGTTCCACAAATTCGCTGTTCAGTAAATAACAGCTGAAACAATAGCTGGACATGAACATAGCTGTTAAAGCCACAATAAATTATAGGATGAATAAAACAGTGTTAGATGAATACTACAGTCTAATGCACGCGTTAGTAACACCAAGAGGTAGACCACGTGCCAAATCCAGGATACAAGCAGCTAAGTGGAACGCCATAAATAGAAGAACATGAGTTAAAAGAGCAAGTGAGAGGATATGGTTCATTTGGCACTTTGCCAACTACCTAGTATATGAATTAACTATAAGAGTCACAAGAAAGTGAAAAGAACAGGGTGAGTATTAAATGGGCCATCCAAATCGCAAAGCACAAGAAAAAGAGTTCTCAAACAAACCTCGGAAACAAGCCTGCTGCGACCTTCCCCAGAGGCACTAAAAGTTCGCAAGGGGTAAGGGATTCTAAGGACACCATCACCACCCAGTCTGTCAAGCCATGGTGCTGATCTTGGATGCGGTCGATGATGATGCCCCTGGCTACTACTAGTTCCAGCAGGTATAACCATCTCTGCTGCGGCAGAAGAATTATTATTATTACTGCTCTGAGTTCCAGGATCACCACCAGCTGCATCAGAAGAGAACAATGACCTCCGAACATACTCTGCCAATCGTCTAGAGTTTCTAGAAGAATTTTGATGAGGTACCCAAGTTGGAGCGGACAAATGAACACCTGAACTCGATCCACCACTCCGGGATGCAGCAGAAGAAGCAAAATTGCTACTAGGAACACTAATATTTCCACCAGCTATGTTGTTCCTGTTCCCCTGATTTCTAGCAGAAGTTCTCGGCTCTGTTGCAGGTACAAACATAGGATGTTCCCATAATTGCCTAGCAGTGTTTCTTGAGCTTCCCTCCTCTCTATCGCTCAAATCAATAGGACCACCTGATGAGCTACCAGGTCTCGAGCCAGAAGTTTCACTCCACCTAAATGGCGGCACATTGTGTGGCAAAGCCGTGACCGGAATAACAGCTGGCTGAACTTGAGAAATTGGAGCCTCGGCAGCAGACGGAGAAGACCTAAATTCCAAAGAATTCTCAACTGGAATATTATGTCTGGACGAGTGATGCCTAACAATACCTCCAGAAGAAAACAATGAAGAGGGAACAGATTCTTGATGCGAGGGATTTATCCTCAATCGAAAATTTCTCTGTCGTGAGCTTCCGCCAGATGGCATGGGATCAGCAAGACCTTCAGTACCTAGACCTCTCATACCTAATACAAGTCTGGGGTGTACATGCTGCTCAGGTGGTGCAGCAGCTGATATACTCAAACTGCTGCTGACCTGCCGGGGAGGAACACCTGGCCATGCACCACTACCCTCTGGATGCTGAAACAAACTAGAACCACCACTCATAGAGGACTGCCCATGTCCTTCCACTGCTTTTCTTTTACATGATTGACGGCGCCCATCTAATGAACAACCGGGTCTGCCATCATCTTCCCTCAGGTATCCTCCACTTCCGGAAGGGAGAAGGAAATCTTCACTACCACTAACAGCATGTTCTGCACCACTAGACTTGTATATCATATTGTGCCCTCCCATAGAATCATCACCCTGGCCCACCAACCCTGCATTCAAGTTCAGATTCTGGGGAAATCCATTGGCATTGGAGCTGTGGACAAACTGGGCATTCACATCAACACTATTCAATGAAAGCATATGGGTTGGTTCATGACGCCTTTCTTCTAACCTTGAGCTAGGATCAGCAGACATGCTTGCTGCTGCTGCTGCTGAAGAAGATGACGATCCATGTTCCATCTTCTGCTTATCTCGACTTCTGTCTGTTCTTGCACTGCCAGAACTCGGTTCGCCTAGGCTCCACCGATTCAAGTTCTGGCGTTCATGGTCAATTGGATTTGCATATGTATTCATCTGAACTGGAGACAGCATGAAGTTTGACAATCGCTCTTCTGAAGGAGTTCTAAGGTTGTTCCAGCAAAGTTGCTGGTCCATGATGGGATTACCCGAAGCTGATCCATGGTCGAAGTCCAAAGTCTCTGGCAAGGAGCCAATTACACCCCTCTGCCCTTGCATTGGGGCTAAATATGTTATATAAATGAAGGCGGACAGAATCAGGAAAACCAGAGTAAATTGATTGAGTTGAAGACCTGACAAGAAAAGAGAATCCAGTAATTAGAGACACCTCTTAAGGAACACAACAAAAAACTCATATACCACAGTAGAATTTTATCATTTTCACAATGCTAGAACACAGCACATGATGCACTGCATCAGGGAAGAGTATGCTTCACAACACAGTAATATCACCCAAGGATTTGAACCAAAGCCAGGTTAGCTGCTAGATATAAGACTCTCTTGATTGAGCAGCACACATTCAATAAGGGCAGAGAACTAATATGGAACACCAGCTGAAACAAGTAAACCCAATGCCCATATGTCGAGACAAGCTACCCTTCACTCCAAGGAGCTCTTACTTAACACCAAGGTGATTACAATCAAGCTTAGCCTCTTACATTTGGGCCCGGCAAGTAAAGTTCGCATCTTTTATGCGAAATCATACTGCCCCTACTCAACCAATGGGGAAACTCCGCACTGAAGCCACAAGGCACATAGAGAACACAGGGACCGAAGTAACAACCAAATAAAACCAGACATTGGAAATCTACTGGAGAAATACTCAAAAGGAGCCAGGGCAAATGAAGTTGAGAGAAGCCATCGGGTTTTTGTTTCTCACAATCAACAAACAGAAGCCCCCCATCAATCAGCCGATACAAACAACACATATGCATCCAACAAAAGCAGATTCATTTCTTTGAAAAGTTCTTTTCTTTCGTTGAATTTCTTTGAAATGTTCTCCAGAGCCACTTCGCCTGGTGAAACAAGGGCTCTGATGGGGCTGAAATCTAGTTCCTTAACGATAATGAAAGATGAAAACTAGTACCACAAACAGAAACCAAAACTATCAGAGATTTTGAAGAGCAAATTCTTTTTTTAATATAATTTTTATATTAATAATAACCAAAAAGAGGGGAAATACTGAAACATTTGAGAAGAAAGAGAACCCACATATGCAAACCCATCTCAATCCGACCTTACCGCCGCCTACTGATCAAGCTAAGTAAAACAATCTGCAGAGGGGAAACAGCTTACCGATCAAAGGGAGAGCATGAAACTCCGACCGATCTAAAAGAATCTGAAGGGGAGAAGGCCAACACCCAATCAAATATCAGAGAGCTCTAACACCCAACCAAATAAAGAAAAGGGCAAAGAAAACCCAGAAAATATTCTCGCGCAGGAGCACGAAAGAAGCCGATACAGAGATGCTGGAATCCTGTCTCTTCTCCTTGTTCGTCGTCTAACCTTCTTCTCTCTTCCTTCCTGGAAGCCGGAGGAGAGAAGCAAGAGGGGAGAAAACGGCACGCCCAAAAAAACACCCCTCGCCCACCAAAATGGAATCGCAAGCAACAGGCCCAAGGGACAGAGAGAGCTAGAGAGAGAAATGGAAGAGGAAGAGATTGGGAGAGGGATAATGGGGAGGAAAAAAAGGGTGAGAAATGAAAAGAGGAGAAGGAGAAGATTGATATGAGGGGTTGGGGTGGGGGGCAAGAGCAAGGAAAGGAAAGGCAAGGCAAGAAACTGCACAAGGAAAGAGATTGAAAAGCAAAGAGCAAAATTTATATTTTTGTTTAATTAGTTTACATATTTATTGGATTCTTCACATCTATATTAATTATTATTAGTTGAATTTTTTTTCTTTTTATTTTTACCTGATAAGCCCACTCCTAGTACTACTACAACAAAACCCAAAGATTATATCTTCAAATAAAATGTAATAAGAATATGAATGGAATGGGGAAGTGAATGAGAAAGAAACAGCAGAAAGCACACCTCACCGCTTCTCACAAGAGCACGCCACAACAACAACTTACTACTACAACTGCCAACAACAGCACCAGCAAGAGGGCAGAGGGAGAAGAAAACAACTTGGCAAGGTAAGAGGGTGTCCACAACCACAACTCTCCCCACCTCCCTTTTGTTGGGCCGCTTACCAAGTTGTGTTTCGTTCTTGTGGTTTTTTGTGGGGGAAAGATATATGTATATATAAGCATTAAATTGTCCAAAGAAATGGTAAAATGGGGGTGTGGATCCAATAATTTGGTCCAAGTGACTCATGAGGTGTGATCATCAATTTGTGATCTTTGTTATGATAGGGAAGTAAGATATTAAATAAGTCAATCATTTCATTGAGATGGTAGATTGAGAAGAAAGAGAAAAAAAAGTTACGAGATAAGTCGGAAAATCGAAAAATATATGTTTATCAAAAGGGGAAAGGACCTTTGAAAATATGGTAAAAGCATTTCAAAATTATAAATGATTTTTCGAAAGGTTCACCCTATGTGTTTTGAGCAAGGTTGTCAAACCGGTTTATGCCAGTGTGTGGAATGGTTCGACCGGTGATACATACCGGTTTCTGCCGGTTCATGTCAGTTAATATTACAAATAATTTACAAATACTCATATTTAAACACGATAGTTAACGTCAATACATTAATATTTGTACTTGAATCCAACAAATAACATCAACATTTAATTTTTTAACACATAAATTAAATAATAAATTACTTTTTATCAATTAAATTCACTAAGATAAGATCATTTTACTTGGAGATTCATATATCGATCATGCCGGTCATACCGATGGTGTCATGTCGGTTTTATGACCCGTACAGGTTCAACCAAGTTCAACCAGTGGCACACCGGCCGGCGTGACAACCATGGTTTTGAGACTCATGTATGTTTGGTGGTTTATGATAGAGATGAGTATCTTGTTATTCATGCATGTTGATATGGTTAGCATTCTCTCGTGCTGTTGTTTTGTTTGGGGACAAACAAAGTTCAAGTGTGGAGTATTTTTTAGGACACTTGAAATATATTGTTTATCACTATATTTGTTACATTTTCCCTTCTATTGAAGCATCTTGAGTAGTTTTGCCATATTTCATATTAATATCATAAATATTTGATCAACGTGCCTATGATAGACCTTCAGTATTTTTTGTACTATTTTATGTCTTTTAGTGTTATTTTGTGCATTTTAGGGATATAATACACTTAAGAGAAACTAGTTTCTTACCCGGCCTGTTGGCCGGAGAGTTTCATTATCAATTATACCAATTGATTTATCTATATGTTAAAAATCTTTTGAATCACCTACATTTTTATACTCTCTTTATAAGCGAGTATGTGATATGTCTATATTAAAAATTCTCAATACGCATACTCACCTATGATTCTATTTTTTTTCTAACAAAAAATTATATCGTGAAGATTTATCACATCCCATTTAGGATAGCATATCAAGATTTGTCAAACCAAGACACTCAAATTTATTATATTAAACTACATATAACAATTTGTGATTCTCGAGTCAGGACAAACTCTAAACCAATTATTGAGAGTTCAAATTATTAGATAAAGATGCTTAATTAATGGATAATTTTTGTTTATTCCAAGTGAAACTTAACACATATTGTACCCCTTACGATGATCATATTATCTAATCGTGACTCATTTTCATGCGAATGTTCATGAAGTCTTAGTTGGTTATATAATACTTACTATATTTGATAGACGTATACATTAGAAATGAGAAAATGTATGATTGTAAAAATTATAAAATAATATAGTTCATTTTTGAAAGTCGATTGATCGTCAAATCACTGTTTTTTCTCTTTCCATCACTACATTTGTTTGATCGGATAAAATGTTATTATTTATGTGTGCTTTTTTTATTTTTCCATTAAAATGTAACTTATTATTAAGTTTTAGCATAAATGAGTAGAAAATTGACTTAAAATGTAATAATGTGTTTTCGATTTAAAAATGTGAGAGATGTCACTTTACAAACATTAGTCTATTATTGCATACATAGATTAATACATATAATGCAAAAAAAAATGATAAAAGAAAAATATTAAAGAAGAGAGAGATAGCTCCACAAATTGTTCATTAACTCAATTTTTTGTTTCCAAAAATATTGTCCACCTTGGCAACTTGTGAGTTCTCCAAATGCTTATGTGGCAATAAGTAACTTTTGAACAACCATAATATATAGTAAGATAAGATAAGATAAGATAAGATATGGATCATCAGTGGATCAAAAGAGTACGAGAATACAATCTCATGGACACAAACATAGATGGATTTGGACATAAAATGTTCATGTGATGGCCCAGAGTTGCACATTTATGAAAGCACTTTGGATCACATGAAGTTTAATTGACCTGAAATTTGACAAGCAGCCCAGGGAAAGAATGAGAAATCGGTCCACCAAAATGTAGCCCATTTGGAGTACAAGAAGGCCCAAAACGATGTGCAAAATTGGTGTTGTCGTGGTTAGAACACATCCAAATTCAACTAAATGAAACCATTTAGAAGCTTCCCACCGACTTTCAGTGAAATCCAAGTTTGGGAAGTTCTCCTTTTGGCCGAAGAAATACTTTTGTAGACAATTTTCTCTTTAATGTTATTTGTAAAACTAGAGGTTTATGCTAAGAGCTTTACACACTTTGTATACACACTCTGCCCTAGTGGGCTCGAGTAACAACCATAGTAGGAGGCAAAATTCACTCAGAGTTTCATGGAGATGCCTTCATCATCGATATGATATGCATTGCCTCGTGTATGTATGTTTAGTTGAATGAGACTATGCATGCATATGCGGGATCAATGCTATAGACTACTATTTTGGTTCTTAAAGGTCCTAAATAGTTAATGTGTTATCCTTACTTCCTGTTTGTTTGATTAGTCTAGTGGCATGAAGCGAAAGCAAGCATTAGCTAGTTGTAGTTCCTCTCGCATTGTGGCAAAAGCTCGATTAAGAATGCTTTAGTGGAAGGGATAGTGTTGTTAGAAGTAAAAGGTCTAGGTAACTTTATGTATTTTGCCATGTAAATAGTAGGGTTTAGTGCAGCCGCCACTTTCAGTATATTAGCAGCCGAAATTGTTGTAGGAGTGGTATTCCGGAGAACTACACATAATAATAGATTTCTCGCATTGTGCCGTGGACTAGTCTCAACGTTCAAACGTTGGGGAAACCACGTAAATCCGGTGTTCGGTGTCGATTCTTGTTTATGTTTTGATCACGTTTGACCTGGTATCAGAGCCTTCTGTGACCGAAAGGTCTTGTGTTCGATTTTCGGTGACCCCATTTGTTAAGCACATGGTATTCTTGTCTTCAGACCTGTGCAAACTTCAAGCCCTTGTGAGTGGCTTTCGTTTGAGGGGGCGTGTTAGTGTTGTGGTATATGATCCACGATTGAACCTCTCCCAACAACTCGAGTTATTGGGATCAACTGGAGTAAACGTGGCAGGGTGTATATGCTCGATCATCTTACTAGCCAGCTGGAGGATCGTGGGGGCACTTCCGCTGGGAGGGCGCTTACTGACTGGCATTGAGATGGAGCGGGCGTGGCCCTTTCATCATGTTAGTGTTGTGGTATATGATCCACGATTGAACTTCTCCCAACAACTCGAGTTATTGGGATCAGCTGGTTCTTGACATGGTATCAGAGCCTCTCTAAACTATTTGATCTCTTTGGAGTTTTTCGACTTGAAATTGTCGGCGCTATCTTCTTGGGTTTCTGCGTCAGGATTTCTGGTGGTTCCGTGTGCTTACTGTTGTGTGATTTGGAGTGGTGCGATACCCTTCTCTGTGTGTCTCTGTGTATTTTTTCTTGATCTGCAGCTGCTTCTGGTCTCTCCGGGGGGTTTTCTACTAGTCGGCTTCCGGGTTGCCGCTATTCCCGTGGCTGTCGAGTTTCAAGTCTGATTGGTGCTTCATTTTGGGTTGTTATTGTCTGCTTGGCTTTAATAACTTGTTGCAGCTGTTGGTTCTCGCTACTGTGTGGGTTTTTAATTGGTTGAGGCTTGCTTCTCCTTTCTCACGGCTGTGGTGTGCATTAGTTGGGGTTGTTCTTTCTTGTTCGTTGCGTTTTTACTATGGATGGCTCTAAACTGTATGTCGTTTCTGTTCGGCTTAATGGGAAGAATTTTCCCTTGTGGGAATTGCATTTTTGGGTGTTTGTTCAAGGGAGGAGGCTGCTCCCCATTCTGAAAGGTACTCTCCCAGAGCCTGGCGAAACGGCCACCGCCAAAGCTCGTTCGGACTGGTGATAACGGTGTAATCGCATGTTTTTATACACCTATTTCTTACCCATTTGCGGGCGCATAGTTGTGTGTTTTGGCCTATTTTACGCCGGGTTGTGCTACTTTGTCATATTTCAGGTCCCAGGCGTCGAAGGGAAGGCCAAGCACGAGTTTCGGGGCATTTGGAAGTCGTTTGGTCGAGCTAGGACCAAAACACGGGCAGGAGGCTTGAAGAACACGACCGTGTACACCAAAGGGCCCGCCAGTGCTTTTACTGCCGAGAGTTGAATGAAGAAAAGACCAAAACACGGGTGGGGTGACTTCAGAACACGGTCGTGCCCTACTTCAAAACACACCCGTGTTTTCCCCAGACCATGGCCGTGTATTTATGACGTGGCAGAGGGCACGGGCGGGCTGGAGAAGAACACGACCGTGCCCTCGACCGT